CGAGATCGCTTTCCCGCCAAAAAACTTGCATATTTTTTTAAGGCTTCCGTACGCGGCACCCAGGCGTCCGAGGGGGAGTGAAATTAAAACGGGAGAGTCGCGCATGTTTGGGCACATACTCCGAAAGTTTCAGCCTTCTAGCTTTTCAGGTTTTAGAGTTGAAAGTGGGTGACAAAAAGTGCAAACACACACACATACACACACAGGCAACCTCTTCCCAGTATGCGTTTTTGCAATTCGCATATATGCAAAAACGCACAAAAACGGCTCGTGATCTTCCTAAAATTTATCAAATGGATTCCTCAAAAAAGTTTTCCTGGTAAAACCAACTTTGCAGCTAACTCATATAGCTGCTAACTGCCCAAGAGACAATTAGCCGATTGGTTTAACAGATTCATTTCAGATTTTATTATCATTTCGGTGACGCACTGATACAGCTTGGCAAGAAGCAAGAGGTAAATCTTTTCACACAGTTGTATTTCTAGTGCCTACAATAATAACAATTATTACTATTGTTATTATTACCATCATTATTATTATTGTTGCTGTTATTATTAAATGCCTTTATCGATTTTTGCAGTTTTTGCAAAATTTACTCTGTGGGTTGTCACTTTTAATTTTTAAGCTGTCTCACTTTCCATTACTTTTATCCGATTGCCATCTGTTTTGGCGGTTTTTGTTGTCTTTTTACTAAAGTCGGTTTCACACTAAATCTACATTGTTGCTGTACTTAGGCTTATCGGATATACAGCATTGGGACGAAACTGGGTCTCTTTCTCTCTCCTTACCAAAGATCTCTGTATAATGTGGAAGGCTTGACGGCTCGACCGTGGTGGACTCTTGAACAGACGTCCTGCGCGAAATATCTCAAGGTTTGCTTTAGCTTTGCTAGTGCCTTCTTGCATTTTCGGCAACAAAAATGAAAAGTGAATGACTGGCTTCTGCAAGATGCGTTGCCGCAAAAGCCAAAAATACTTTACTCACCCATTTTGTGGGCGCACGTCACGAAATCTATTGGCATTAATTCACTGCCCTGTAGAGCTTTCTTTTTTAAAATATTTTATGAGAACAGCTAGCTTTCAAACAAATAGTCGAGCGTAACCAAAATTTTTGATATTGGATTTCCTAGCATTTGGACTTTTGTCTTCCTTCCTCTTCCGCAGTCCGCGTTGTAGTTCTGTACAACTTTGGTCGCTGAGTTTCAGTAAAAGTTGGCCGATGCCCAAGTAGCTGGGAGAAGGGGAATCATTTTCCAAAGGTGCGCAGTAATGAAAATAATGTCTTTTGATAATCGTTATTTGTTGAACATGATTCCCTAGGTGCCGCAAAACGCTTTTACCAAAAAATCGGAAAGGAAGAAAAGTGAGGGAACTCTTTCTGAATAACTCAGCAGTACTCGTTTTATGCATTAAAGACACTGTCAGGGTATCGAAAGGCAATGGACGATAATTCGAGAGGAAGCACTGGCGATTTTGAATAACGAGCCGCACCTGTTCACACCTGAGCACCAGCAGATGGTGATTGACGGACATTGGTCCGCGTACTACTTGTACAGCAGTGATTCGTGGAATGCAACAAATTGCCTTAGGACCCCTAAAACATGCAGCATAATGCAAATGTTCAAAGATTCATCTCACTGCTTGAAAAGCGAGGTAACAATTTGTTTTTTTACCAATATGCCTTACTTTGCATGCACGTTGTACATATATTGAACGGCAACAGTTGAAGCACTCAGGATGGAAGATTTAACTTAAAAGAGAGAACCATCGGCAGCTATCGCGGAAAATCCGCGAAAAATCGGCAAGGAAGAAGCCACGACAAAGAAAAATGCACGCTGTCTATGGGAGGTAGTAAAAACGGGGTATATTCGGCCTTGAGAGGCAGACGCACAGTAGATGTACTGCTAGGCTGATTCTGGAGCCAGTGGTGTAGTGGGTAGCACGTGACATCCGGATGTGAAAAGAAGTGGTACTATTCCTTCTTGATCCACAACCATTTTCGAAAAGGGGCTTTGTTGACGACAGAAGCCTAGCTAGAAGGTAATTGCTGTTGGCAGATGTACTCAGAATACTGAGGAAGACTATATCGGTCTTTCACATAGGGTGTATGTGAAGGGGGTTTTGTCTCAAACTAAACCTGGTACGTGCTTAAAAGTTTAAAAAATGGAGTAGGTTTCATTATAATTTAGTTTCCAAGAATCTCGAATAAATCATGGCTGTAAAAAGGTGCTTACTTTAAGGACATTTGTTTGCAGATAAAATTTTCACTTCTCACTAGTGGTACAAGAGTATGGCCTCACTGCGGGTATTCAAACTGCCGTCTACAGGCCCATCTGGGTCTCATTATATCGTCTGGTATGCCTTTTTTTTTTCAAAATTTCAAACATATTGTTATTTCAGTTTTCGAAAAATTTCAAATTTTAAACATCAATTAGTTCTTGCAAAAGGAAAAAAAAAATAATTAAGGACTAAACAAGCATTTGCAGAAGCGCGAATACGAGTCGCCGATGAGATTCGTGGATGGAAAGCGGGTAAATTTATTGTATTTGATGATTCATTTGAGCACGAATTATGGTTTGAGGGTGCCTCAGCGAACAAGTACAGACTGATACTGAAGCTCGATCTGTGGCATCCCGAAATGGATCCAGCAAGGAGAGTTGAGTTTAAAAGTGCATAAAAAGCCTGGCATCTGTTCGTGCATGGTTCCTTAATTCCCAGTTCTAGGTTTGCTACAATTTTTAGATGCATAGTTTTTGTAGATTTCATGTGAGTTGTGTTTCACAGCGTTTTATGAGCTTCGGGGTACACAAAAAGTGGCTCGAATCTGATATCTAAATGCAATTTCGTGTTAAATTTTCTACCAGCTGCTAGCATACTTGTGTATTGGTAAGTAGTGCTTAGGTTTAGATCGACTGTTCGATCTCGCAGCTTCGAAAACCAATTTTTTTACGACTCATCGATGGTCCTATTGCATCTCGGGTAACTTCTGTCGGTTTGCTTTTAGATAATCTTCGGAACGAGAGCCACTGACCACTTTCCCAGCTGATAGTTATTGCTGGCAGTTTGCTGCGGATATCCTACTTTATTTGGGAGGTGAAATGTGATGGGGACTTTGTCATTTCCGGCTTCTGCGTAAAAATCGGGGACAGTATTATGTTAGCAGAGGCACCGTTGAAAATTGACGCAGTGCTACACTGCCGCTTTCGAAAATAGAAATTCTTCGTGAAAAGCATTTCTTATGAAAAGCAGCGCCGAAGAATTTCTATGGAAAATGCCGTTAGTGGCGAGTGTAAGATTGACGGAACCAATATACCTCTCCAGCAGTTGCGGTTCACAAACTACTAAGATGTGGTACGATCAGGCCCAGCAGAGCTAAGCACACTGGTATCCCTGACTGGCATCCTGGAACAATAGCTCTTTAAAAGATGTGATCTGAAGTGATCCTGCCTCGCTTAACTGTGATCGAATTTCATAATTGTCGACCACGGTGCTTTCGCTATGGTTAGCGGACCTAGTGCTGGTTTTCACTCAAATATTACTGTCATGTAAATATGTTATTTATCAGCAGCGTATTCGAGGGGAGCTGTCTCCTCACTTATGGCGCCAAAAATGATCATGCGGAGGCAGAAACTGTGGAAGAAGCGGCAAAATATTCTAGATGGAGAGGCCTAAACTTAAGCGAAAAAAGAAACCAGTTATAGAATGAAAAATTATAGAAACTTAAAAACAAAGAAACACTCTTAATTAGAAAGCTAAATTTAGCACCAAACCGCGAATAAATACCATATTTAAGCAAAAAAGGAGGGGCACCAGTAGGATCAAAGTTCATTATCTTGCACAAGAGGTGTCATTTTTGAAAGGATCCGAGATATGGCATACTTTGTAGAAACCGAGATATAGCATACTTGATATGGCATACTTTGTAGAAAACTCGAAACGCTGCTTTTATATATTTGCTCTGTTCATTTGTGTATATCAATTGTCGTCATTGTGATTTTCATTTCCGCTGTATTTTCTGTTGTCAGTTATGTGCTATATGGGACGCATCGCTTCACGGTAAAGCATTTTTGAATGTTTTTCCACAAAAAAAAACCTTTAAATTAGGTGTAACTTGAACCGTTAAACCGCCGGCAACAACAAATACATCCATTCCACTGGTACCAAGTCTGAAATTCGTACGCTAAAGTCATCTCCTCCCTTCTCGAATTTTTTCAAGATAAAAATTTTTTGGCCACGCCTGAATATTAAATATTACAGAATTGATCGTAGAAACGCTCTCTGCCCTTTCAGCTATGTGATGAACGAATGAAAATTGATGAATAATCACTTTCAATCACCTGTACAGAATTACAAGTTGAATAGCTTTTTTTGGCATTTCTTAAAATGGACGGATAACACGCTTGATAGAAGCCGCTTGGCACAATTAGATCAGAATATGGGAGAGCGGTTGGAATGCTAAGGCTGATACTTAAGCAGCCTCTTTTTGAGTAACTTGAAGAGGTTCTCCTCCACTGTTTCTTAAGGAAGGCAATGGAGCTGGAATGGAAAATGAATATTCGGATGGAGAAAACTTTGCAAGGACAATCTTTTAATACTATCAATTTTGTTTATGCTCGTTTGAAACGCCGTCCAGTACGCAGCAAATTCCCAATCTTTTTTTTCCTGAAAAGACGGACTACCAAAGCATTAGTAATATATTGGAAACTCGCACTCGTTCAGCCCAGATATTCCGGGCTCTTTGATCAAGTGCTACATACCTCCACTTAGTGGCGGTCGCCTGCCCCATGTCAACCTCTCTGGAATCACCTAAACGAGGCATGAGCAACCTCTGGCAAAATGCGGACCTGATTTGCATACTTAAACTCGCAGGCCACCTTTTAATAAAACTGAGCTAACAAAGCACGAGGTTTGCCCGCGCGATCATGTATTTTCGCGCCAGATTTAACGCAGTCAAATCGCTAAAAGTATTAATAGTTATTGCCTTATAGTTTAAAACGTGCAGCTGTTTTGGTCTTTTCTTGCCCGCCAGGGAAATATGCATATTTTTTCGGGGTTCGGTAGGCGAAATCTAGGAGCGTATGGGGGAAGTTTTTAAAACGAGGTGGCGTATGGAATAGGAATATGTCCCCAAAATCCCAGCCTTCCAGCTTTCTGACTGCTGAGTTGAAAATGGGTGACAAAGTTCATTTGCTTCCCGAAAACACGTACACGGACGACCTCTCAACAATATGTTTTTGCTCACTGTAGCAGCGCTACAGCGTTGCACAGCAAAAAACGCATAAAAATAAACAACAGAATGTTAAATTGAACTCCGAGCTTGTACCTTTGGCACACGGTTGATGAAATCTGGATTTATATCACTGACACAGAGTTTCAAAGTATTTTCCATAGTGTCGTCTGTTACTCTCATGCGCATTTTTGTTACTCTCATGGGAGTGCAGAGGCGTGGCGGAGCACAAACCCCCATTCGTCTAATTAGGCACCATATCCCGATCCCTACGCGGGCCGGATCCGGCCTGCAGGCCGCCGGCTGCCCATTTATGACCAAAATGATCATCTGAATTTGAGGAAGTGGCTGTTTACCGCAACTATAAGTGTGCCCAACCATCGTTTTTCCAAGATTTTAGTCCTTTTCTTTGTTTCTTACCATCATTGAAGCTGGCACCTTCTCGACTCTATTTGATCCTGAACTCACAGGGTAAACAATATCGTGCATGAACTTTCCAGGGAATCTTTCCAACCTACTAATGCCTTTACAGTGTGTTTAACACGGTACAAACATTTAAAAATCAGCTTTGTCCATCTGTTTTCGCTCATTCTCGGATATACACAGAGGATTGAAAATTCATCTTTTTATATCACTAAATGTTGAAATACACAGTAATAGTGGGCTTCGCTAACAAATTACAACATGAGCTCCAAAATAAAAAAAAAAAAAAAAAAAACATTGGTAATGGATAGTGACAATGATGACAGTATGATGGGCTGGTTAACACAAGCATTATATATAGCGGAACGAAATCATTAAACCTGCAACCATAACAAGAGCACATTTACAAGCGTTTCAACTTCAAAAAAGAAACAGAAAAACAAATTTCGATAAAATGCGACTGCGAGCCGTATCAAAGACATTCCAAGTTAAAAAAATATTCTATCAAAACGATCCAGTGTTTCTGGTGCGAGAAAATTATTTTAGTAAGCAATCACAAGAGAATAGCGGAATGTGATACTGTTGTCGTGTAGAATAGGTCGACAGTTAAGAGATAACCAGTAAGTCGATACCTAAAAGATAACCAATTCCTCTACGATTCATCCGTTCGTTCCGTGGTAAATTGGTACTCATGTATCAAAGAAAACAAATCCGCTCTTAGATTGCTTGTGCGCAACCCCAGAAAGGGGATTATCGACATTTTTGCCAGCAAGTTTTTGCTGTTATCAATCGCGCTAATCGCGCTACTTCGCAAGTGCCTCAGCTCCATAAAAAGAACAAATACGGGTAGAGAGAAAAGGCGAGGAGAGTGAGAGCGGAGAAGTTGATTTTTTGATAATAAGAAGGACAAAGTAAGTTTTATAAAAAAAAAGCATTTATCAAACTTGACGACAAATACCACTCACTTATCACGAAAATTGCATGAAACGCTTCTTTTTTGAAACTAATACATAAAGTTTCTTTTCTACTGTCAGCTGGGATTCTACCGTCCAGAATCCTCTCAACATCGGAGGTCCCGCTCTAGTAATAGCCTCGCCTTTGTCTCATCACAAATAATAACGAAAACAACAACAGTAATAATAAAATGACGCGTAGGGGAGATACGTCCGAGCCATCAAGATCAGCTGGTTAATAGGAGTACAGAAAAAAAGCACGAGAGTAGATGTGATCGAAATTTTCATACTTGCTTCTCCTTCACACTTATCACCTATCATAAACACCTGATTTTGAAACCACGGAGACCTCACATCACGCTATGTAAACCAATGGAAGAGTTACCAGTTCTTTTCTTTTAGAAATGCCAAAAATAGCTGTCCAGCTGGCTTACTGTCTCAATAGCACGGTCAGAGTTTCACAGTTTGAATCTCGCTTTCTTTACATTCAGTAAAGTGGGTGAGGTCCCAGATTAGGTAAAACAGGAGTTGATCAAACGGTTAACAAACCCAAACACAGATACACAAAGATATGATTAAGCCATACGCGTCTTTTGCATTGCACATATGAATAAAAAGCACAAGAATTACTAAGTACAGGAACAAATAAAAAAAAAATTTTTTTTTTTAAACACTGCAGCAATGATTGGTTAGGAATAAAGTGAATGTTCACCTAGTAGTGGAAAATGAGTAAATGATGATGATATTGTGCTAAAAATGAAACATGTTTTTGACAGTGCCAGTTTTGCGTAAAAAATTTGCGTGAAACACATGCCAGTACGCATTTTTTAGTGGCTTGATTCAACATCTGATTTGTTGATAACTTCGAGATCGCTATTTTCACTACTTGTAGTGGTCATGCCCTTTTCGACATTTACGCTGATCTTTTCGAATTCCGATGTTTCCGGCGAAGCTTTACCCGAAGCTTCCGGAAGTGCTGGATAAATATGCAGAGGAGTGCTCGTTGTACTGCCATTTGTTGATGCTTTGGATGCGTCTTCTTTCGTATCACTGGATGATGCTTCTTTCGCTTTT